ACTAAAAATATAAAAATTAGATGGGCGTGGTGGTGCACGCCCGTAGTCCCAGCTACTGGGGAGGATGAAGCACGGGAATCGCTTGAACTGGAGATGCAGAGGTTGCCATGAGTTGAGATTGTGCCACTGCACTCCAGGGTGACAGAGGGAGACTCTGTTTCAAAAAAAAAAAAAAAAGTACACCTGGGTGCCCCTGGGGTTTTCCCCTTCATTCATACAGAGATGAATGAGTTATTACAATGTGAGCAGAACCTTTCTTCCAGAAAACATCCATGGTGCTCCGTATCTCATGAACTATAACAAGATGCAGAAGAATCAGCCATCAGGAACCCGCACAGAGCGCAAAGTCACTCACCGTCTCGACAGCTCTTCATCACTGCTGCTACTCTTTTCATGACACTCCTTTTTGTCCATTTGTCAAATGTTGTATTTATCTCTTTACTGTATCTTTTTCACCCTGAAAAAATAAAAAGAGGTTGTATTTAGGTACATGGGAAGAACCGTCAGAAAAATCTTAGCTTCCGTGTCTCTAAAAGGTTGACAAAAGCACTTATTGCTCATTCAAAAGAGATGCATCAGTGGAATTGCTCCTAGTAGCGGTAGGTGCTTAGGACAGAGGCCAAAACAGGAGAGCTGCAAAATAGAAACTTTTTTTTTCCTAATGAAGTAGGTGTATGGATTTTTCAAATTCTTTTCTTTTTGATGTAGCCCTGCATCTGCAAGTTAAGCCATGTAGAATAGTAACTTCTAGAGATTCCAACCTGACAGAGGCAAAAGTGTGATTATTTTCCTTGCCTTCCATTCTTCTCTCGTACAACTCTAATGGTTTCTCTTGCCTAAATCGTCACCTAGATTTCTTTAAAATACTTGGGTTTAGGAACCGTTGTCTGACCCATTATCTTCACCGGTTCTGCTATGACATTTTTTAAAGATTAGATTTTTAAAATAATGGCTTTATGGATATATAGTTCACAAACCACACGATTCACAAACCACACAATAAACTATACAATTCAATGTTGTATATAGCATAGTTACAAAGTTGTACAACCACCACCACAATCAGTTTTAGGACAGCGTCGTCACCTCAAAAAGAAACTCACTAAGCGGCACTCCCCATTCCCCACATGCACGCACACCCAGCCACAGGCACCCACGAATCCACCTTCTGTCTCCACAGGTTTACTCATTCTGGACATTTGATTTAATAGGAGTTGTTATGGACTGAATGTATGTGTCCACCCTCAAGTTCCTGTGTTGAAATCCTAACTCCAAATGTGAGGATACGAGGAGATGGGGCCTTCGGGAGGTGATGAGGTCATGAGGGTGGACTCCTCATGAATGGTCTCAATGCCCTTAGAAAAGAGACCCCAGAGACCTCCCTCCCTCTTTCTACCATGGGAGAATGCAGCAAGAAGTCAGCCGTCTATGAACGAGGAAGCAGGTCCTCTCCAGTCACTGAATGTACCAGTGCCTTGATCTTGGACTTCCCAGCCTCCAGAACTGTGAGAAATAAATCCTGTTGTTTAAGCCACGTGGTCTATGATACTTTTGTTAAAGAAGCCAAAAGCGACTAAGACAGGCATCAAACAATATATTGTCCTTTGTGATGGATCCTTTCACTTCGCATAATGTTTTCAAGGTCCATCCGTGTTATACCACATAACAGAACCTCCTTTGTTTTCATGGCTGAATAATATTCCACTGTATGGAGACACCACATATTCTCTATCCATTCAGCAGACGATAGACATTTGGGTGAGTTCCACTTTGGGGCTCTTATGAAAAATGCTGCTGTGAATATTCAGGTCCAAATTTCCGTGTGGACAGATTATTTCCTTCTCTTGGGTACATAATTAGGAGTGGAGTTGCTGGGTCATATGGTAACGCTATGTTTAACCTTAATTGGCACCAAGCCAATGTTTCCTAAGTGCCAATTTCCATTCCCAGCAGCAGTGTAGGAGGGTGCCAGCTTCTCCATATCCTCACCTTTAATTGTTATTATGGGCCTTTTAAAAATGGCCATTCTGGTACGTGTAAAGTGATATCTTATTGTGATTTTTGAAGATTAAGTTTTATATAATAGTAAAAATACATATTTAATAGCATTGTAAACACTTTGGATAACAGAAAAGAAAATTGGTGAATTACAAATCACCCCAAATCCAAACACCTATAAATAATCCATCTTAACTTTTTGACTATTTGATTGTATTGACTATATTAAAATAGCGTGATAGGGCGCGGTGGCTCATGCCTGTAATCCCAGCACTTTGGGAGGCCGAGGCGGGTGGATTACCTGAGGCCAGGAGTTCCAGAACAGCCTGGTCAACATGGTGAAACCCCATCTCTACTAAAAACACAAAAATTAGCCGGGTGTGGTGGTGCATGCCTGTAATCCCAGCAACTCAGGAGGCTGAGACAGGAGAATTGCTTGAACCCAGGAGGAGGAGGTTGTAGTGAGCCAAGATCACACCACTGCACTCCAGCCTGGGTGACAGACTGAGACTCTGTCTCCAAAAACAAAAAAAAATTATTTCTCTGAATTTTCATTAGGTGATTACAGCTACCAAGAAAATTCTAGTAGGTAAACACAACCACCTTCTAAGAACTTAAAACTCTCCAATATTAAATGGCCAGTTCCCTCAGAATAAAAATAAACCAAAATATTTCAACCAATTTCAACCAAAGTGAACTTTGAATAATTAATTCAATTGTTTCACTTTCTTTTTAAAGAAGTTGTGAAGAATTTCAAAATGACATGACTATAGAACAATAGTGAGATGCAAACAAAGAATAAAAACTACCACATAAGAAATTGTGAATTTCAGCCGGACGCGGTGGCTCACGCCTGTAATCCCAGCACTTTGGGAGGCCGAGGCGGGCGGATCATGAGGTTAGGAGATAGAGACCATCCTGGTTAACACGGTGAAACCCCGTCTCTACTAAAAATGCAAAAAATTAGCCGGGCGCGGCAGCAGGCGCCTGTAGTCCCAGCTACTTGGGAGGCTGAGGCA